TTTCATGACATGAGCTCTCTGATGCTCTAAAGGATTCTATATCAATAAACACATTTTATTTTATTGGTTTTGATCATTTAAGGGTTAATGGCATCTTCATCCTTATTGTGCTCAAATGTCAAGGTCTTCAAAGGAACTAATCAATGTAAATCGATAGTCTTCAGTAAAGGAATAAATTCCTAGAATATAACCTAACAATAGGTGGCGATAACACCCCTACTGTGACAGAACTGGAGCATCTGTGTATCCCCTTATCACTGACGAACAACCAGATTTTTGATGATAGATTAGTTTAGGCCATAAGAAGTACCTTTAGATTATTTGTTTTGCGTCCCCTTGCTTGATGATTTTGAGTAAATCAGAAAAAAACAAACACATTCAAATAGCAATCACAAGGGTCTGAATGTACCATCGCATTTGATTCAATCAGAATCAGACGAAATGGCGGATAATTTGATGTGCGTCAAAATTGACAGTTTATTGATACTTTGGCATGCATTATGTATTTTCGTATTTTTACCCTTGAATAATAGCTATGTTTAAATATATTGTATATCTAAATGTATAGATATGTGTTTGTAATCGCTGCAACTTGATGTCATCCCTTTTTATGCCTATAAAATGTCCATTTCTCACCAAACAAGTTTTTGCTTTTTCTTGAGTTTGTATTTGTTATCATCACGGTACCCTTGCATGATATGGATTTTGCCAGGACGCAAAACAAAGAATCTACTTCTTATGGCCTTACCATATTCTATGACCACTGTTGAATTGTGGCCAGGCTCGATACATTATATTGTAGTATACTTGTGCAAAATAGCAGAGCCTCTTGGTGCGCTCATTCGAGAATTTTAAATTACCTCTTCTACACTAATGTTCCAAAATACCGTTGGAAAGCTAAGAATCTAGCCTCCATTCGAATTTTGATTGAATGCAAAATTAGGCCTAGATATTAATCCTTTCATTACCAAGGGGTGAAATTAAGAAATCAATCATGCTTTTTCAATCAAAAAATATTTTTATAAATTTTGGGTGCGGCAACGGTGACCGCAAGAATGAAATAAGTTATGACTCAGAGTCATAATTTGTACAGTGACTCTATGGCCTGTAAAATGGATACGCCGTACGGAAACCACAAGGCGACCATAGTTATGCCTTAGCTATAATTGATCTACGGCAACCGTGCGGCGGTCGTATCATCACAAAATCTAGAGAAACAACGTAGGGATTTCCTATATCGATTCTGTGAAGTTATGACCGCATTACGGCCCTCGTGGCGCAAAAATGACTGAGACTTACAGATGTTGGGGAACTATGAACTATGGTCCACGTGCGGTCACTGTGGAGCAAATGTGACAGAGGCTTCAAATAAGTCCTTTCGTCACCAAGGGTAAATTGAGTAAAGTAGATTTTTTTTGTATAGCATTATAATTTGATGAGTTTTGATATATTAATGTAAAGTTGTAATTTGTAAAAGCAAATTGTGATAAACCCAAATTTCTGTTTCATTATTGTACTCTCGAAATTGTCAGAAAATTCAAAATTGCAAAAAATTATTTTCATTATTTTTTACTTTGTGTGCAATATAATTCGTGTAATATTAATTCTGTGTAAAATAAAGGAAATTATAACCTCTAGTACGAGTATTTGTTATATGTGACATTTTCATTATTACCACCTTGCCGGGTCAGTTCTAGGGGATTTAGGTATGAGTACCGTAATCAAACACCAAATTTGAAAATTCAGAACAATACTAGTACTTTGCACATATGGCGTTCGTGATCAACTATAAAACGCTTACCCCCAATAGTGTTATATATCAAAATGTACCTGTTCATATAGGGGTTCGATTGATCTACATCAAATTATAGGGAGTCAGGTTACTTTCTGAGATATCAGCGTCCATTTATTGCAACTCGCGTTTGCTACCATTTCCTCAATTCTGAGATGACGGGCAAACGCGTAGTAAACATGCTCACGTCGGAACTATTTCTGACCTACATCGCTATTTTCGTAATTCAAATGAAAGTTGAACTCCTCCTCTTTATTTTGATACCAAATAGTGGCATACTAAGTACCCTAGAAGCCAACTATGGCGTTATTTAGAACAAAACCACAACTTTTTAAATGTTTTAAATAAAATACCTTTTGACGAATGGATATGGAACCTCATACCTTTAGTGCTAGTTTAGAAGGCATTCATTTTACTATGGATATAGTCCTGAGTAAGGACATTAGCGATTAGTGATTTGGTTTTCTGAATAAAACGTCATTTTCTCCTTCCCTACCCCATTGGAGCGCCATCTAGCGTTTGAGGAGTGAATCGGGAATAAATATTTATAGGGTAGGTCCTCATTTATCTGAAAACATGTCAGAGTTCAGTGGGAAATCTCATTTTAAGCTGGCGGCGGAGTGATTTTGACCTTGGTGATTTTACCAGAATTCTCTGAGAAATCTGACGATAGAGGGGGTTAGTGTCTTCAAGTTTATTTATTTCAAAAATTCGGTGGACAACCCATGGTAAGATTGTTATAGCAGGCTAGGCGAGTCTCTCCCGAACACTGTGGTATGTTGCACTAGGCTTGGATACTAATCGTTAATAAGATAGAGGGTAAAATGTTATAATGGCCACCTATGGGAAACTCTACTGTGATCTTCAACCTATATCGACCTGAGCAATATGTGACGTCATAGTGGCGGTCAATACTGCCGGTGATATATGTTGAAAAACCCCAATTTATCGATCCTAGCAGATATTGACCAAAATCCAAGAGTCGATGAAGCTACATCGGACGGAAATCTCATGCCAAAACGTTGCAATTTTTGGGATGTTTGGGCCTTTTATGAGCCCATTTGCTTGGCCTATTACTTGACATTATGTAAGTTCTAGCAAATAAATCGTCCCATTATTTCCACATTGTTATAACTCACTTTTTACAGGTTTTGAGATAAGTATACTTTCTTTCTCAATTCTTCATGAGGAATTCATTTCTGAGGTCCATTTCAATGGATCTCATCTTTTGGAGATATCCAGTGCCACATTGTTATAAGTGCAAAATGAGGGAAAAAATGTAGGCCCATCTTGTCATATCTGTTTGGGTAGGCAGCAGAGCCAATCAGATACATAATTTTGATCATGTGACCAATAGTTATGACAATGTGGAAATAATGGGATGATCTCTTACGAGTATACATTGCAGGTAATTAACAGAGGAGATCATAAATCATGACACCATACATGTAGTACAAACAAAAGAAAGCAGATTATTTGCAACATAAAAAGTTCATTCAGTGAACTTAATCAATTACCGACCCTGTTATAGCCTTTTTACCTTTGTCATGTACCTTTTAAAGATCTGGTGGATTATCCAAAATATTTACAATTTTTCGCAGTTAAGTTGTGTTGTTATGACAACCACTTGACCAATCATGATCAAACTTGGCATAGCAACTCATTATATATAGATACATAATCCCTAAAAATATGAATGTGATTGAAGGTATATAGCAGAAATTATTGATGATTATCATTGCATAGTACCCCCTCATAAAAGTAGCCAATGGGGTATAAATGGCAATAATTCACAGATGCTGAAAAACTAGACCCTATTATTTTCAAAATCAATGGGAAACGATATATTTCACATAATTAACATAATTAGAAAAATGCAATCCTGTAAGCAAAAACATGGACCAAGCTCATCCAGTACCGTATCAGTCAAAATGGAACACAAGTCATATTCTTAATAATTAGATAGGCAGAATAATGGTATATGAGACAATAACAAAATGGAAGTAAATAAAAATCAGTTTTCAGGGTTATTTTGATATTTCAAAAACAAGAAAACATAAAAAAGATGTGTTTTAGTTATTGTTAATCAGTGAATTTTGCTCTGCAAGGCCTATATATATACATGATTACCTATACGAAAAAATAAGTTTTTAAAAACTTTACCACTCAAAAGTTATGAAGACCTAAACTTCAACCTCTGATTTCTCAATATCAGCGAAAATGCAATTGTAACAATGTGGAAATAATAGGACGAAATGTCTTTTTTGGTGAGATTTGACCAAAGCTTACATCCAAATAGCATGGCAGGTAATATTATGTTGATCCAGATTCTTAATGAAGTAAGAGGATTTGCATCCTTTACAATACGGACATATGCAATCGAGTGATACGAATTTTTGGCTTTTTTGCATCATTAACTACCATGTCTTTGCATTTAAAATCTCTTCTCAAAGCGTTACCTACGTATTGCTGAGTATTTGCGTTAGGAATAATATCACTGCCTATGAAGTAGCACGCTTGATTTCTGGCTTTCGATGTCCCAATGAATGTGACCACGGCGCTTTTGCCGTCTTCCCCAGCATGGTGCAGTAATCTCCACTTACTGCTATATTCATATACAATGTTTAGTAGGGTCTGTAGGTCTGCAGGGGAAGACGCCAAATTCAATCGATTAAAAATGTATTTGTTATTAGAATGCGTGCGAATGTGATACTAATGTATACTTCTACTTTGGTAAAGCCTTAGACCGTAGTTTGGGACCAAAACTTTCAAAGGCGCCAGAATAACTTAGTCAGTAGAACGGTAAGTCAAAAATGCTCCATACTACAAAAAGTCTGCAGCATTTCAGAAGTTGATGGTTTCGCCATAATGAATCTTATTTTGTGTTTAAATTGCTTTGTAGCTTTTTAGTCAAAATAACAAAGTTGATCCGTGTGCTAAGAACAATATAGTTGTCCGACTGACATTTTATGACATCTATAATATTGCAAAAACTTTCTAAAATATTTACATCTACATTTTTACATCTAAAAAACATGTGTCATATTTGAAAACAAAATACGTGACAGATAATTATCGCCGCTGCTAATTTGCTACGCGAACTGTGTTGCGATAGCTTTATTATTGCAACTGAAAACGTGCCTGGCACTAGACTCCAGTAATAACACAACAATTTATCCTTGATACATTTAAGAAGAAATTCTGCGATGCTTTTGCCATATGAGATCGGATTACTGAACTTTGTTCTAAGAAATATCATGTTTCGACTAAAAAAAACAGGATGCAATATACTTCCCACTCTGTAGCTTATATGGAACACGGACACATATAACTCGGCAGTTCAGATGGATGAAGATGGTTTAGTGCCTTCTGGGATGAAGTTCATGAAAACCCAAGATGGTTATTACATGGATGCATTGGATGGTACCACAACGCCCGGGAGGCAGTGCACGGGTAAATTAAAGGTGTTGATTATGGTAGCAGCGCTTATGGTGTTAGTACTGATGGGGGTATCTGTACTAATTGGAATGGCTATAGGAGGCTTCTTTAAAGGTACCATTTAAAACAATCTACTTCTCATTTCTGACTTTGTGCTTAAACTTTGCCTTTGATATCGTGATGAGCACCAACTCCTGTTTGTACCCTAGGGGAGATACTGTAAGTATTGTATTGTATTGTATTTATTATTTATTATAGTGTCACGCCATAAAATATTACATAGTACTAAAACGATATTAAAAACATTGGCCCTGCCGATGTCGGCATATGAGACACTTAACAACAATTCGATTAATAAGTTAATATAAGAATGTTCGACGTTTCATACAAAGTTTAATTACAGTCTTTGCTAGGGAACGTTGCAACAATTCACAATTCATAAGTAAGCAATACTGTCCTAGACTAGTGGTATCAAAGTCATTCCCTATTAGCGACCTGGCCTTATGCAAAAGCTCTCTCCTCTCAGTCTCATAAAGGTGACATTCTATAACAAAATGAATTTCTGTTTCCACGGCGTTGCCACAGAGACATAGTCGCTCATTAAGTGGAATGTTGGTATATCTCCCAGTCTCTAATTTGAGTGGCAACGTTTCGCTTCTAAGTTGGGCAATAGCACGCCTCTGAAAGCGAGTGAGGTTCGCATTAACATAGTATTCCGGACCAATGGCGTGTGTCTTATGTAATCGATATGTTCTAACTTTATTACCATTAACATTGCGTCCGTCATTCCACATCTGACGATGCCAAAGCTGATCACAGTTAAATAAAATATCGTGCAAATCACGAAGTTCTTTTCTGATGTCAGGGATTTCGTCTCGTGTTATAAGATGATCAAAATCAAGAGTCTTAATGAGTTTAATTGTTTTTGCTTCCCAGGTCCGAGCTCGACGCATTGACCAAATATGTATATGTTTCATGTTTCTAGAAGTATCGACATTTTGCATACGACTAGTTCTCAACACGTCCTTTCCCGTTCTAAGTGGGACTCTGCTATTGAAAATTTTAGTCAGATTTTATGAGTTAAACAGCAGATGAAGAGATCCAAGCTCACTGTAGAAATACTAGATTCCACATGATCAAAGGTCACTAGATGCAAGTACTTAAACTAGATCAACGTGACCTTAGCCAGGAAAGACAAATAACTAAGAGTACATTATTGGCTTCTGGTCTGCAACATACTGATAGTGGCCTAACTCATTGTAGATTCGACCACTGGACAACCACTTGCTGACACAACAGCGGTCGTTTCAAATTGCACATCGGCAACTGAATTCCAGAACGAAGGTCAGTTTTAATATTTTTTACAAAACCTTTAGAAAATTGTAAAGTAATACAATATTGATTGACTAATAACTTTTTAAATTAAAATGTCAATATTTAATGATTTCTAGATAACTGTAGCGGTCCAGGCGACACTAGGTCAACAGATGGAGGACTAGATGTAACGACGGTATGTGTGCTTAAAACAAACATGAATTAAGGAAGAAGTTCATGTCTATCGATTTTTTTTCTACAATTCAGATTTTCTTGAACAAAATCTAGGTGAAAGATATACTAATGTAGATAAGAAAATGAGAAAGATTGACTGTTCATCAGTTAATTCTAAAAAATAGTTTTTTAACAGTGCTCTCTTGAATTGGAACTGATTCTTACATTTTTTTAAATCCCATAATTCAGATTTGCTTAAAAAATTGGGATCTTTCTATGGAGCTGTCATAGTCTTGTGTGTATTAATATTAACTCCAGTAACTGCCCATTTGACTGGTAATTTTAGTTTAGAGCCCTCACTTTAAACCTAATTCCCGGGACCTAATTGTACGCTCTGGTAATTTATTCTGTAAGGGGGCTCTGAACTAATAATCAATTCCATTGTCTTTCAACCAGTGATGTGATTACTTTATTCGACAGGTGTTCAAAGATACACTTCCCCGAACTGTCCTACTGATGTGGATCGATTATAACGGAACTGCTGACCCGAGTAAGGGTTGGCAGTTGGCTCCGGGTGGCAGTTTGAGGCTTAAAACAAACACAGTCCATCCATTCGTGGCCAAGATCGATGGCACCGACGAGTGGGTAAGAATAGGAGGGCAGTGTAAATACTACCCACAAGCAGAACATGTTGACATTGCTTGAAAACATAGGAAAAGGTCGATAGAAACATTTTTTTAAATAAAGATGGCATAGTAATCGATCTGTGTTGATTTATAAATATACTGGATTCTGTTGGTGCTGCCATCTTTGTATCGGCCCAGAACCTTTGCTTGTAAAGCTCAATGCCCGATCGGAATTTGCATATTGCCAACTAAGATGATATTTAAGACGGTTTATAGCATCCTACGAAGGACTTTTATCTTTAAGAGAGCAGACATTTCTATGAATTATTATAATATCAAACAAACACTGATTTCCATGTAAGTGTTAGTCCGAAATAAGAAAAAGTATGTTGTCATTTTCTATTCTTTTAGAAGGCATTAACATATGGATTGGATCGAATGGATTGGTTTAATATAAAATATGGATTGGATCAGAAATTCACAGAATATTACATAATACATTTTTTATCATTGATCTTTAAATCTTTATGTCTATGGTCACCATTTTTACATTTATTTTTCAATTAGTAATTTACTAGTTAAAATTGAAATGTAAAGACTATCTTGAGTGTGGATTCATTCCTTTCCGAGATATTGCTTTTGCATCCGGATCAATGTACATGGTGAAACAAAAATGTTACCCTCTGATATTTTTCTCAATTGTGATGAACTTGGCAAATCAATATTTCAAGTATCATGTTTCAACTCATAAATGGGAAACGTTTACAGGCATTTCAAAACTAGGTGACCTTGAATTTGAATTTATGAGGATTACAAAATGCCGCGACCCTATTTAAAGAGCATTTAAGGTCATTAATTTGGAGTAAAAATGAACTTTAATTTTGGCAAAATACTAGATTTTGAAATGCCTGTAACCCCTTCCCGTTTGTGAGTTAAACCATGAGCTTTAAAATCTTTATAACACATACTACGCGGACGTTTTTGACGTTTTGCCTGCTTAGAGAGTCCCATACATTCGGGACACCCTGTAAAATAGAATATGTTATATGTATGATTTTTCTCCCTAAGTTATTTTATATTGATTTCCAGATGTAAACATGCAAGTCGTACATAGTGGTTGTATTATTCGTTGTTTGTCTTTTTGAAAGATAAAAATATAATATTATACTGTAAACATAATATAGACAAACGAGCTAGATGCTCAAGAAGGAATTTTCAAGATGGCTGTTGAATTTTAAAATGGCTGCCATTTTTTGTTAAAAACGATATCTTTGATAACTCAACTATCAGTGGATGGATTTGGTTCAAGTGTATGCTGATGCCTAAGGACAAAGGAAATCTGGTCGAGGGGAAATTTTCAAGACGACAGTAGACATTGTGAATAGAAGGTGGTGACGACCACTGCCTTGTGTTGGGAGATAAAATCTTCAACTGGGAATGTTAAGACAATGTGAATAGCCCAGCGTTATAATATTCATGGGTTGATGAATATCCACGAATAGTGCAAATTATTATTCTCCTATTGCTCACCTTTTTATTAATCAAATAATCATGAAATATTCATGTGTTGCATTCATGAATAGGTCATGCATAGAAAATTGATGAATATTTAATGAACGTTCCATTTGTATTTGACGCATTTTTGATGAATATATCATGAATGGTATTCATTGTTCATGCAATGAATATTTTTGAACAATTCAAGTAATGCATGAATAATTCACAATCCTTTCGCTGGGGTGAAGAAGGTGGTGACGATCACTTACTTGAGTTGGGAAAATAATTTTCACCTGGGAATGTAAAGACAATGTGAATAGAAGGTGGTGACGATCACTCACTTGAGTTGGGAGAACAACTTTCACCTGGGAATGTAAAGACAATGTGAATAGAATGTGGTGACGATCACTCACTTGTGTTGGGAGAACAATCTTCACCTAAGAATGTAAAGACAATGTGAATAGAAGGTGGTGACGATCATTCACTTGTGTTGGGAAAACAATCTTCACCTAAGAATGTAAAGACAATGTGAATAAAAGGTGGTGACGATCACTCACTTGTGTTGGAAGTACAATCTTCACCTAAGAATGTAAAGACAATGTGAATAGAAGGTGGTGACGATCATTCACTTGTGTTGGAAGAACAATCTTCACCTAAGAATGTAAAGACAATGTGAATAGAAGGTGGTGACGATCACTCACTTGTGTTGGAAGAACAATCTTCACCTGAGAATGTAAAGACAATGTGAATAGAAAGTGGTGACGATCATTCACTTGTGTTGGGAGAATAATCTTCACCTGAGAATGCAAAGACAATGTGAATGGAAGGTGGTGACGATCACTCACTTGTGTTGGGAGAATAATCTTCACCTGAGAATGCAAAGACAAGGTGAATGGAAGGTGGTGACGATCACTCACTTGTGTTGGGAGAATAATCTTCACCTGAGAATGTAAAGACAATGTGAATAGAAGGTAGTGACGATCACTTACTTGTGTTTGGAGAATAATCTTCACCTGGGAATGTAAGGACAATGTGAATAGAAGGTGCTGACGATCACTCACTTGTGTTGGGAGAATAATCTTCACCTAAGAATGTAAAGACAATGTGAATAGAAGGTGGTGACGATCACTCACTTGTGTTGGGAGAACAATCTTTACCTGAGAATGTAAAGACAATGTGAATAGAAGGTGGTGACGATTACTCACTTGTGTTGGGAGAATAATTTTCAACTGAGAATGAAAATACGATTTGACTCATATGATGGAGGCCAACATTGAAGACATTATTTTGTTACAAGATAGATACAAGAGCGATTGCAAAGCAGGCTCTGAATTCATAGGTAGAATTTCACTTCTTTAGAATCACTTGCGCAACATGCCAGATTTCTTGCCTGTAAGATAATAGTGATATGATAAAAAATATATTATGCCATATGGTATAGCATAGAGATTGTGTGCAACCTCAACACTCTAACTTGGTATCTGCAGTTTACATGCACCCCGGTGTTTTTTGTTGTCCCCGATATAAACTTTCAATATCAATCATATAAACTGTTACTTACCTTTGCGAATGTTTTCTGGCTTTCATATTTGAGATAAATATAAAATATAATATGATAAAAATAAAATATTATAAAATATGTTCATAAAATATGAACAGAATCGCCGCACTTCTTTTCGAGCTATAGTAAAAAAAAGTAAAAGTGGCGGCCATTTTTCTAAATGTGTGTCCTCAACCATGAGTGTCATTAAAGGGTGTGCCATACTTATAATATTCACATACCAAATTTGAACAAAATCGCTCCACTACTTTTCGAGTTATAGTAAAAAATCTTAAAATGGCGGTCATTTTTCAAAATGGACACCTTCGACAAAAAGTGCCATTAGACAGTGTGCCATGCTTATAGTATTCACATACCAACTATAACCAAGTAAGAAACGTTAAAATAGTCCTCCATCTAGGAGATATATACACCAGGTAATGTTACTAAAATTAAAAAAATATGAAAAAATATGGTCACCTGTCCTCTAGATTCAATTTCTGAATGAATCGTAGCATAATGTACAGATTATTTGATATCATGCTATTCTTGAAACATTTATACGCAAAAATAACTGGGTCGCTCACCTCTTATGCCTATATGTGTTCAGTAATCATCAATTCTCGTGAGTAAAATTTCTCCAGGCCATTGAAAGGTCCGCTCCGTAAATTGACAATTTCTACTGCGCATTGGTGTCATGGGTTGTGAAACACTGGACGAAATGGTTTGGTAAATTTCAAGCTAGTTGATTGGTCGAAAAAATCACGCGCCTTTGCGTGATTTGCTTTATTCTCGCGAGATAAATTTCTATTTTGAACAACCATTATGATTTGGTGCATTATCTGACCAATAAAGTAGATTTGGAGGTATGAATATTTTTTTTTATTTTTCTGTTTAGTGTTTTCTTCAGGCCCTATGTGTCTCAGGATATTTGTTTAACGAAAACTAGACAAATAATTTATTTTAAAAATACATATTTTTTATTTTGGATGGAAGCTGCGTAACCTGAGAAATAATATAAGTATAATATATGGAGGACTTCCCATAACCGTGGTGACAGGGGGTCTCTACTCAGTTATAAACTATTGGACAGAAGTAAAGACATATCAAAAGATAAGATACCTCTTAAAATACGAAACTAAAAGGTAAAAAAATATCTAAACATAAAACAAAGACAATGTATTATCCCCAATGTCCATTTGTCATTACAAACCTAAATCATGTTCACAGTCTAGTAAGGCCTAACAATAAAAAGAAAATCTGAAAGTGCCACAGTACGTTATTTGTACGTTCTTAACCACTTATCTCTTACTAATTTGATCATTATTAAAGTATTAATTTTCAACACTACACTCCCATACCTGCCAACCTCTCAGAGAAAAAAAACAGGAGTTTTTTTTAAAAAAAACAGGAGAATCCAGGAGATATTTTGCAAAAAACAGGAGAAAAACAGGGGACGTTTACTGAAAAAACAGGAGAAAACAGGAGACTTCTTTTAAAAAACAGGAGAAAACAGGAGGTTTCTTTTAGAAAACAAGTTACCATCTAAAAACAGGAGAAAACAGGAGATTTTCAGTCTAAACAGGAGATTTTCTTTAAAAACAGGAGAAAACAGGAGGTTTCTTTTAGAAAACAAGTTACCATCTAAAAACAGGAGAAAACAATAGACTTTCAGTCTAAACAGGAGATTTTCTTTAAAAAACAGGAGAAAACAGGAGACTTCTTTTAAAAAACAGGAGAAAACGGGAGGTTTCTTTTAGAAAAAAAGTTACCATCTAAAAAACAGGAGAAAACAGGAGATTTTCAGTCTAAACAGGAGATTTTCTTTAAAAAACAGGAGAAAACAGGAGACTTCTTTTAAAAAACAGGAGAAACGGGAGGTTTCTTTTAGAAAACAAGTTACCATCTAAAAAACAGGAGAAAACAGGAGATTTTCAGTCTAAACAGGAGATTTTCTTTAAAAACAGGAGAAAACAATTTATTTTAAAAGCATGAGAAAACAGATTATCTTTAAAAACAGTAGAAAACAGAAAACTTCAAAGAAAACACATTGTTCTTATAAAAAATACTCTATTTATGGCCAGAAATGGTGAAAGATATGATGGTCCAAAATCACTTGCAATACCGGGTTGCAATCTATAGGCCTACTGCACATGGCCGTCTAGGTC